GAATCCCACAATTCATTGGTTCCCTTGGTAGATTACAGTATCTTTATCTTGACGAGTCTAATTTTAGTGGGGAAATTCCTCATCATCTTGGCAACCTTTCTGAATTGAGTTATCTGGGTCTTGGCTCATTTAATGATGGTTCACTAACTGGCACAAGTCTTGATTGGCTTTCTCGACTTAATTCATTAAATGACATGTACATGTACTCTGTTAACCTCACAATGGCAACCGATTGGTTACAAACAATAACTAAGCTTACTAAGCTTCAACGTTTAGGATTACATTGGTGTAACCTGTCAATGGTACTTCCTCCCTCACCTTTCAATGCTTCTAATTCTCTTTCTGACATTACACTCTCGGGAAATGAGTTCTCTTCTTCTTGGATATTTCCTTTGGTGTTTTACTTAAGCAGTAGCCTTAGTTCACTTGACCTCAGTTCCAACAAATTACAAGGTGAGATTCCATTATCCTTGAGGAATATGACTAGTTTAACTGGTTTATATTTATACCGTAACCAATTCACAGGGGAAGTGCCTCATCTTGCATTACCTTCCTCTTTGATTGACTTATATCTTTCTGAGAATATGTTTACTGGTACCGTGACCCAATGCATAGGAAGCCTTTACAAACTCAAATATTTGGATCTTCATTCAAACAACTTTGAAGACACAATCACTGAATCACATTTCTTTAATCTCTCCCATTTACAAATGTTGGACTTGTCTTCCAACCAAGGTATCTCGTTCAATATCAGTTCAGGATGGAATCCTCCTTTTCAACTGGCAAGAGTATTTTTATCGGGTTGCAAAGTGGGTCCACATTTCCCCACATGGCTTAGAACACAAAAGAGATTAGAGTATCTTGATATCTCTAATGCTAAAATTTCAGACACCTTCCCTGATTGGTTTCCGAAGTCAAGTCCAAAATTATCGACTTTAAATGTATCACATAACAATTTTCATGGTGTCCTTCCTGATTTGTCGTCAAAGTTCTCTCTTTTTGAATCCATAGATCTGAGCTTTAATCATTTTAATGGTTCATTACCAATTTTACCTC